ATTTATTATAATATTAAATACATAAGGATTATTAATTTGATAAAAAAGAACATACCTACAATATTTGCGAGTTTCAAATGATCAACAGTGTAAGTACCAGTTCTTAATGCTGTGCTATCCATGAACTGATCATTGTAAGATAATGACTTTCCTAATCTTATTAAAATATTGTTATGAGAGGATTTGTATATAATCATGGATATAGTACATATTACTAGCGATGTACATGCTACGCCGGTTACTATAATAAGCAACAATCGTTCATAGTTTGACTGTTCAAGATATTCTGTAGCTGAAAAATATTACAAAATAATGTATTTAAAAAAATATTTTCTAATTATCGTTTCTATGAAATATCAAGCTAAAAATAAATATAAAATATTCTACTATATAGTAATTATTAGTTGCTATTAATACTGTTATCTTACTTGGCTGACTCTTTTGCGACGAAAGAGGATTAAATATTTTGTTGTCCGGATCTGCAAGATTGGAGCTTGTAATGTTGAGATTACAAAAATCTCCGTGACAGCAACAAAACTTTGTGTTGTTCAAAGCTTTTGTAGATCTCTGGAGTGCAACACATTCTGTATTTTCGCATTTTTGTTCACCAGACTGTTTCCAACAACCTAGTCCATATCAAAACAATAATAATATATTTTATATTTTTTTATGTAATAATGATCATTTATGCAGAATAAACTACATGATATATACCTTGAGACAAAATACTTATTTCAGTGCCATTTGCCGTTTTATCTTCTTGCCATAAGGCATGGCAGAAATTATTACATATCTCAAATTTGACATCTTCATTTACCTAAGAGTCAGATATCTATTTTAAATATTTTGTAATTAGTGTGAACATATTGTTTATACTATATAATTTTTTAATCATCATTTTCAAAAAGCACACTAGCTTATTATGAAAAAAACATACATTATGATCATTGGATGCAACTTCAGGTACACCTGCTGAATTCTGCTTCAAAGAAAGATTTTCAACATTTTTCTTTCTACTGGCACATTTCCTAATGGCATTGATAGGGGCTAAGCTTATGCCACACAGCAGTGTGATCAGCACGATTGATACAATGGCTCTCATTGTGCTTTAGCAGGCCTCTTGAACCAGAACCACTTCAACAGAAGCAGAGCTCCTTAAGAATTAGCATCTTTCATCGTAGTAATACATAATGCTGCCGTTGAGATTCTGAGTTCATCTGCTCGTAATATAATACAAAAAAAAAAGATTAATATAAATAATTAATAAAATTGAATTAAAAGATTATATATTACAGTTTCTTATCTTATATTGGTATTTCTGCTTTTAAAAATAAGAGAACTATATCAGAAATATTATTAGTCTTTGTGTAATATCTAAAGACAACAAAATTATATACAACTTAAATTTTGCATTTAAAGTCATCATGCATAAAATATACTCTTTCTGAATTTCAAATAACATTGATCTTCATATCAGAAATTAAATAACTTATATTAATCACATTACGCAAAATCGACGTTTCTATAAACTTTATCAAAATATGGATATACATACAACATTCCATATACATATCACACTCACTTTCTGCTTGTAATATATCAATTTTTTTAAACATTATCAACACAAATATAACATATATGTTCAACTCTTTTTTGCAATATACTGTCAATTTTTTTTCAAGTTTATCAACACAAATATACGTATATATAATATACATAATACATATTCAATGAACACATTCTACTCCTTTTTACAATATACTGTTAAATTTTAAATTCAATTTCCATTACTATACGCAGTAATTCTCGCAGACGTTTAAGCTATTCCGTGGTATCGTGTCACGCAAATCTAACGACCAGAAAGTAATGCGAGATCTCATCTGTGACATGACTGATTAATCAGAGTTCCTTACGTGGTCAGGCGAACGCAATATCGAGCGGCGAGAGACAATCGCGGGATATCAAAGGAAAAACGATATACTTTTAACGACGCGAATGGGAGCATATTAACACGTCGCACGTCGGGATTTCCTGGGACAAGCGTCCCATGGGAAATTCGCGAGATTGGAAAAGGGGAAACATCGCGCGTACAGGGCGCGCGATGTGCATTACAAATGAAGCGGCACACACTTACATTCTGCTCGGCGGTCCTCGTGGAAGTCCAATGTGGTTCACGCGCGTTATTATGGCCACCGTCGGATGCCACATTGCACCATGTCCTCAGAACACCGCCAAGCTCATTCGAAAGAAGCGTCGCGTGAAACCCATATATTTGACAGGCAGCCCGTGTCGGTGTCCATTGAGTCGCGTCCTAATCGCGCGTTCGCAAACGCATCGACGGCGATGCAGCTGCTTATCGTACGGTTGCCGCTCGTATATTGCTGAATTCACACTGCATCCGATGTGCGTCGTACGACGCTCTGCAACCAATCAGAAAACAGGATTCCGATGGATTTTACTTCGTATCATTGGAATCCTGTTTTTTGATTGGTTCCAGAGCGTCGTACGACGCAAATCGGGTGCAGTGTAAATTCAGCACATGGCGCGAAATTTTAAGCGTGTTGACGATGGCTGCATTTCACAATTTACTGCCAGTACTGAAAATTTATAGTTTACATCACGTACACTAGGATTGGGTAAGTTAACTTTTTTTTTAACTAAGTTAAGTTAAAGTTAACAGCCTTGAAAATTTAACTTAATGAAAATATAAGTTAATCCATAATAAAATTAATTGAATTAAAAGTTAAGTTGAAAAAAAAGTAATTAAAAAGTTAAATTTGGTTTGAATGGACAACCAAAAAAAAAGGAAAAGTTTGTATTCTATTTTATATAATTTTTCCTTTCTCACAGCTTATTTATTAAAGAATCAGATTATTTTTGTTCACAGTAAGGATTATACAGTATAAAATTACTAAATTTTATACTCATTAGTCTCTCGCATTGTATCTAAGGATTGACTTCAAAAAATCAAATTAAAAGTTAATAGTTACTAATAAAATGTAACTAAATTAAAAAAGTTAAAAAGTTAAGAGTTTAAAATATAACTAAGTTAAATTAAAATTAATTAACTTTTTAATTTTTTAATTTAACTTTTATCTTTTTAACTTAGCACTACCCAACCCTGACGTACATTGTAGATTTTCAGTACAGGTAGTAAATTTGGAAACACAGCTAGGAATCGTTCCGAGAGCTTAGAGAGAAAAAAAATAAATCACGTTTAAACATTTGGGGTATTTTACAAATTGTTCGATTCTTTCTCATCTGAGATCTTGGAGCAATAGCTGCGTTCAGCGGACTCAACAGTTGAGTGAACGCTCGCTGCTAATGATGTATTCTTCTAGATCTAAAATCTGGTTAATCGATCTAAAAGAATACACCAATAACAGTGAGCACTCACTCAACTGTTGAGTTTGCTGAACGCAGAGCCATTGGCTGCGTTCAGCATAACGTTTATTTTACAACTGTTAAAAGTTTTCTTTGCGCTAATTGGGTTATGCTTTTAGATCAAGAGGAATGGTCCTATCTCAGCAGAGAATCATAAAACGATTGCAAAACTGTTGTTTTTTATTGAATGCAGTTATTGACTCAACAGAATGTTCTTTTTGCAACTGTTAGAAGTTTTCTTCGATGAGACAGAACTATTCCTCTATATCTAAAAGTATAATCCAATTAGCGCGAAGAAGACTTTTAACACTTACAAAATAAACATTTTGTTGAACGCAGCCAATGACTCCGTTTTAACAGAAAAAACAACTTTGCAACTGTTGTAAAATCTTTTAATATGCTGATCTTGCTCTTATTCTCATTGAATTTGAATATACATATAAACTAATCGATCTTGTTAAAGAATATCTTACAACAGTTACAAAGCTGCTTTTTCTGCTGAATGCAGTCAGTATTGACTTTTTTTTACCGTTCCATGCTTCATCATCAAATAAGATTTATATTTCTTTTATAAAATAGTGATTAAATAAGGTAAAATTCTTGTTATTTATCTTCAGAAGCTAAAAGAGTTGAGAATGTCAGTACCTTTCAAATGCGGCCGGACTTCTCAGACCGAAAGCATTAGATTGATTAGACATTTATGTGTACAATTAGCAATTAAAAGTTGCAACATTTTTTTTTAACGGGTTTTTTAACAGAATTCAGCCTACTCATCGAGTGATTGATTCTTATTTATAGATCCATAAGAGTAGATTGCATTTCGAAACCTATTAAAAAAAAGTGTTGCAACTTTTTAATTGCCGTACAAAGAATACATATACTTTTGAAGATTAGTTTTAACTATATAATAAAAAGTGTTTTCTCTGTTGTTTTTATTGACACTAATGTGGCGATTAATACATTGTTATAACCGTTAAAATTGATAGTTCTTAGTAATAATATACACACACGGACTCTCGTACATATATTGTATATACTTCACACGCAGTCATACATTATATTACTTGTACATTGACTGACTCTGTTTTACGAAGACAATAAACATTTAAACACATTTTCTATTTTTGCATTTTTGTTGACACGTCGCGAGTATCTTCTTCTGCATAGTGTATCGCTCAGTTAAAATAGATGTATAAAGCAATTCCATAATTTTCATCTCGATAGTTAAATAATTGTTCCGGGAGCTTAAACGTCTCTATTTAAAATTGTAAATGTAAACCATGATAAATAACAATGATTTGTGGAAATATTTGGATTAAAAAAAAATGAAAGAAAAAGAGCTAAGAGTTAGTCGTTAGAAATAGAAATTTTAAAAAATTACAGTATAAATATGTCATTTAGTCAGAATATAAAACTTTAATTTGCCGGCAATAAACAATATAACACAAACAAACGTTTCGATCCCTGTTGGATCATTATCAATGTTAAATACACAAAAA